CTTTGTGCCGTCAATTATTTCCATAGCACTTACATTGTGTCTACAGCTATTTACATAAAATTTATCTTGTTTAGGTATTAAAAGTGATATAGAGATAAGTATATAGTTTAGATGCAAACACTGTGCCATTTTATACAAGGTACTTGAGCATGCTTGCATTTTGGTATCCTGGGCATGGAGGATCCTGGACCAATACCCCATGGATACCAAAGAATGGTGATATTACACTTAGGAAGAGTGGGGAGAGGCTATAAAAACTGTATCAGCAAGATTGAATCCAGGTCATTAGTTCTCACAAGTTGGGTCACTGTCTATTCTTAATCCCACCATCTTAATTTCCTCTTCCAGCATTCCTGGGCCTTTCCCTCTAAACATCCTCAGCACCAGCCCTTCTAACCATAACTCACCCTATTTAGATCCAACACTCCTGTCCCTGGTCGTAGTGGGGATCAGTTTATGGATGTGCAGAGCAGAGAGTGTGTGTCTTTCCCTTTTCCTTAGAGCCAAGAAGTGCAGCAGTGAAGGAAAGATGGAAGGAATAACAGTCAGTGGGAGGTACAGTGCTCCAACTGATTGGCAGTAGTTGAGGGGAGGGGATTAGATGGCCTTACTGAAAGAACCAGTCCTACATCTTTTCATCTGGAACACTTGGGTTTACTCTGAGAATAGCCTGGAGCAAAGGAGTCAAACCTCAAATGCTGACTTGTGGTGCTGGCCTTGGCCCCGTACCTGCAGTTGGGAGCCCTGGAGCTTCCCGTCTCCCTGCAGTCTGTGACCCTCACCACAACCTCGTGGCAGTTCATCCGGCCATTCATGCACTGAATGTTGGTGGTGCTGCAGATACTGCGGATGTTCCAAAGATCTTCATGAATGAAAGTGTTGAAGCGCTTGCACTGATGTGAAGTCATCTTCTGTCTTTGCACCATCAAGTTGCAGTAGCCGTCATTGCCTCCTGTCTCATCAGGATCCACGTGTTGCCGCAGGAATCGTTGGTACATGCGATCCTGGCCATAGGAGGGCTGTACCAGCCCCAGCCCCAGCAGGGTCAGCAACAAGAACAGAAGAAAGACCTGGGTCCGCTGGAGAGCCATCACTGCCTTGGAGATGCCTAGAGAAGACCAAGGGGCAAGAAACATCATCCTGGGTTCAATAGGAAGTGAGCAACCCAAAGCAGCAAGGACAATTTTTGGAGCAACAGATGGGCCCTTTTTCTACAGGTGCAGTCTAAGGGTTAGGCCCAGCTGAGTTCCTAGTTTGGTACATATGTTACTACTGTCCTTTGTTTTCAAAGATGCTGCTTCATGATGGTGGATCACACTGTGTGTGATTATAATGCTGATGAGGGACTTGCATCTTATTCCACCTATAGCCTATCCTTAACAATAATGATCAAGATTAAACATAACTATCATTCATTTAAATGCCACCTTCTCAGTTCACAACCACATTTTGCCTGTGCACAGAAAGACCCAAAACTCTAAGTCACATTTCTGTGTCTGCTGCTGCAGATACGCGATATGGAGTTAGGAGGAGAGGGAAGTGAAGGAGTTGTGGGAAGCAGGGTGGCAGGAAGAAATGATGCTGGATTTACTCCTCACCCCAGGACCACTGGATACAACTTCTGAAGACACACTTAGCACTTGGGTAAGAGCTTCATCCCTGCAATGTACTTTGTGTTGTCTGTCCCAAAACTAGTTGTGCACAATTCTGTCTGCTTTCTCTCATTCTGCTTCTTTGTGACTAACAACATGGTTTAGCAATATGACTAGCTACAGAGAAGATTTTACTTTTTATACAAGAGCATGTGTGGCCTCAGGCACAGTAACCAACTGACTTAGTAAGACATGGAAAAATATGAACAGAGTTCAAAGTCGACATCAATGGGTGCCTCTCAAGCTTCTGCCTACAACAGAAAATGAAATGATCCCCAAATGCCCCCAACACATACTTTTAGGTTAGAGCTTGCACCAATGGTTTGCTCTGCTGACGTGTTTAATCTCAGTAAGAACTTCTTTTGATATGGTGATCCGAAAGACCTAGTTTTACCACACTAACTGTATGATCTTGGGGAAATCGCTTAGCTTCTCTCAGTGTGTTTCCTTAGAAGTAGAATAAACATAATGAAAGTGCTACCAGGCCTCCCTTGTGGCTCAGCTGGTAAAGAATCCGCCTGCAATTCGGGAGACCTGGATTCAATCCATGGGTTGAGAAGATCCCCTGGAGAAAGGCTACCCACTCCAGTATTCTGGCCTAGAGAATTCCATGGACTGAATAGTCCATAGGGTCGCAAAGAGTTGGACATGACTAAGTGACTTTTACTTTCATTTCAATGTTACCGAAAGAATTGTGGGGAGTCCATCTGCTCACCGCTTAAGAGGCAATAAGCAGGCCAGGTTGGTGGAAAGGAAAGTTTGCTTTATTTCAGATGCCTGCAACTGTGGGGGGAGGGTGGTGGACATCCATCCAAAGGCCGACTTCCCGTACCCTCACAACCAGTGGGGCAAGAGATTTTACAGACCCAAGTCGGGGTGGGGGACTACATGCAGGAACGACAAAGTCATCTCTGACAGTCGTCTTCAGCTTGGTCATCGGTGGTCTGACTAGCGACATGTTGATTGTTTTAGGTACAGCTAGTCTTCAGTTCCATCATCCATTTGTTCCCATTTCTTTGTGGCCAGTTCTTGGAACTCTGGCAGCTCATGTCCTTGGAACAGTCTGGTCATCATGATGTTAACTTCCCCACCTGGTGTTTTAGTATCTGTAAGACAGCTCACAGGCTATGGCTCAGAATATTATCTATAGCCCTTGAGAAAGATATAAAGGTCTTTGACTACATTATTATTTAGTCTCCTTTGACTGTTTCCCTTTGTTTCCACGTTTCTCATTTCTCTCATTAAACTTATTCTTTGACTAAAGTTTTCCACAGACAAAAGGCAGGCAGAGGACATGGTGTAGGGGCAAGGTCCATAGGGTCCTTCTCCTCAAAGGAACGTTGTGAAGAAGAAATGATAAAATCAACGTAAAGTGCTTATCACAATGCCTAGCCTAAGTGTTCAGTAGGTGTCAGCAATGATCATTTTTAGGATTCCCATTTTTCTTGGTTTCCTTTGTTCCCTTCAATCTGATAAAATAACAACTACACTGAATTGCAGTCTTCTCAGGTGACACTAGTGGTAAAGAATCCTTCCGCCAATGCAGGAGAGGCAAGAGATGTGGGTTTGATCCCTGGATTGGGATGATCCCCTGTAGTAGGAAATGGCAACCCATTCCAGTATTCTTGCCTGGAAAATCCCATAGACAGAGGAACCTGGTGGGCTGCAGTCCATGGGGTCACAGAGTCGGGCACGAGTGAGTGACTATCACTTTCCAATAGTCTTGCCTGGAAAATCCCATAGACAGAGGAACCTGGTCAGCTATAATCCATAGGGTGGCAAAGAGTCGGATGTGACTGAACAATTAATACACACTACCACTGATTGGGATTCCCTGGTGGCTCAGAGGGTAAAGAGTCTGCCTGTAATGTGGGATACCTGAGCTCAATCCAAGAGATGTGAGTTTGATCCTTGGGTTGGGATGATTCCCAGTAGTGGGAAATGACAACCCATTCCAGTATTCTTGCCTGGAAAATTCCATGGATGGAGGAGGAGCCTGGTGGACTATAGTCCATGGGGTTGCAAAGAGTTGGACACTACTGAGCGACTTCACTTTCACCACTGATTGGAGAACCAGAAAAAAAAATCAGATAGTCTATCAGACATTGTTAATATCTTGCTTCCTAAGGATTTTTTTGATTTTTATAGTAAGACAAATTTTCCAATAAAGAGGTTTGGAAAATCCTTCTTCCTACTTTGGAGAGAAATGACAATGTTTCCAATTTTTAAATAGATGAACCAGTAACCTACTCTTTCATCCCTTCCTCCATAAATTGAATACTTTCAGTGAGGCTGGGCTCTGTGTGGCACCAAGACACTGGCCTCTAACCCAAGTATTGAGGAATCAGGGCTTTTGGTCCATTTCAGGGCATATAGCCAGCAGGGGAGGCAACCATGGGGAATAGTGACTGTGTCAGTTATTCATAAAATGGAAGAACTAGCAATGCATAACTGTAGTTTATTAACTACTTTCTAAGTAAGATATCCAGGCATCTGTTGATGAAATTAGGTAACTTTGAACTCATGGATTAATTAGCATATTTTACAGAGACTGTCTGTTAACTTAAGCTTGTATTTACTTGAAAACATATCAAGTTGAAGAACAAAGGAAAAGCTTGGAATCTTTGTATGACCTTCCCAAGACCTCAGCGTTGCTAGATATCAGTTAATAAAGTAAAATATTAAAGAGAAAATAATGTAGTAATCATAACCATGAGAATATCCTGGGAGTGTTCCAGTCAAAACAATATCAAATTACTTCCTACTTAAGGTAAGAGGTGGCTATCCTGATTGTATTTTGTTATTTATGCAGGATTACCAAAGTGTGGGTGGGTGTGTTTGCCCGTGTGTGTGTGTGTGTGTGTGTGTGTGTGTGTGTGTTTGTGTGAGAGAGAGAGAGAAAGAAAGAAAAGTGTAATTAATCTGTTGGTATTTAGTACTAAATTCCTCTTCCTAAGGCTTAACATTTGTAAAAGTAATATTGGCTTATTAGGTGACAGCAAAAACAATTTGCCTCTCCTAAAAATTCTGCTTAGGGGCCTTAAGCCTTGGAATTTTCCCCAAAATCTCTGTAAGATGAATTTAACATTTTTACCTTAACAGAAAAGTAAAGTCCACTCCTTGAATGCCTGATCAGGAACTGACTGACAAGGAAAAAGGCATTGCTTTCCCATCCAACCCTTTCAATCAAACAGGAAAAATGGGGAAAGATAAATAGACCAAGCATCAGTGAGAAGACTCAGAGACATTTTTATTAATGAAATATATTCTAAAGCAGAAAAGACAAGGTCAGCAGCTCGTTTTCTGGATTCCTAGCAACGAATGTTGCTGCGGTGTAAGGGGGAAATGCTATGAAGGAAGAGCAGAGCCAGCTCTGGACTGCTTGCGTGGAGGGACAAAGGACTCATCAAAGTGGACGGGCCAGCCCTTTTCACAGCCGATAACGATGACTCTGTAGGCTTTGGTGGCTTTGTAATAGCATGGAGGCCGTGTGGACCCTCCTTTATGCTTGCAAATGGTGACCTGGAAGGCAGACTTGCTTATTCTGAGATTGCCTTTGTAAGGTTTCCCATTCTTATCTTTACAGATGTCCTTGATGTCATTCTTGTTGCCATGAATAAAGGTGTTGATGCCTTTGCAGGGTTTGGTCAGGTTTCGTCTTTCCATCATTGTTTCACAGTATTTGTTATCCCGACCCTTTGGACTACGATCATAGTGCTGGGTCAGGAAGTGTCTGTATCTGTGGTCATCCTTAGCCAGAGTCAGTGGGGTCAGACCCAGTCCCAGCATGAAGACCAAAAACAGGGGGCTCAGGACCATCACCATTTCTTTCAACAAGGGCTCCTGCCAAGGACAAAAGGAGATGTAATAGTGGCAGAGAATAGAATTGCCAAATTAGGCTAAAAGGACAAGGATTTTTCTCTCTGGCAGGGCATCATGAATCAGGTATCCTCGGTCACTAGATATATTTTTTTCTTTTCCTTTCCTCAGTAGTCTCGTATGTCTTCTCAATTGATTCCTTTGGAAATCTATAAAAACATTTCCTGAATACAACTTCCAAGTACAACCACCGATTCCTATCCCTGAGGATCTCTAAGAATTTACCTTTCTATCAGTTGTTGCAATTCAAAATCCACTCACATTCTTTAATTCATCTATTAACTAATTTAATAACAAGCACTACATAAGCCCCTATTGGGTACCAGGCACTATGCTTAGGTCCTAGAACACAAAGACCATTAAGACACATCCAGTGCCTCACTAATCCAGGATATACCACCCATGGGGAAAGGATGGGAGTGCCAATTTACTGAGAAGAGACAGTAAGATATACTCTGAGAGCTAAGAAGAAGGACTTTCAGGGAACCTTGAGCCCAGGGAAGGGCTATCAGAGAGGATTGGTGAAGACAGGATCCCGAACAAGTCAGTCCATCAGCTGACTTGAGAAGAGTAGTGAGAGCAAGTTTCACCCTGAGGTGAAAGGAAGCGGACCTAATTCCCCAAAAAGTAGGCTTCCCTGGTGGCTCAGTTAGTAAAGAATATGCCTGCAGTGTAGGAGACCTGGGTTTGATCCCTGGGTTGGGAAGATCCCCTGGAGAAGGAAATGGCAACCCATTCCAGTATTCTTGCCTGGAGAATTCCATGGACAGAGGATATCTGCGGGCTACAGTTTATGGGGTCCCAAAGAGTTGAACATGACTGTGCGACTTTCACTTTCACTTTTTCATGACTTCTTAGCAATCACACATGCTGCAAAATTCTTATAATGGTATGAAAGTTTGACCTTAAATTTATTTTTAGATATACTATAATCTTTATGAATCCTAAATTGAAAGATAAATGGTATAGTGTCATGGACATTAAATTAATTATTAATTTTTACATTGTGCTTTTCTTGTGTGTAAGTCAGTAAACATGTTTTCATATTAAATGTTTTTGTAGCCCTTAAAGAGGCCACCGGTTGTAGCATTAAGCCTGTCATTATGCTAAACAATCCTGGGAGTACAATTGTGACTCTAGAAATATAAGAGCATTTGGGGTTCTGCAGTTTACATGGGAAGCCATGTGACAGGCTGAGTGAAATGACCGCCCTTTCTAATCAGCATCTGGCATTGATCTTTATCTGTTTATCATGACTACAGACAAATTCGGTATATTGCCAAAGAATTATCAGATTATACACTAAGAAATTCTTTGGTCATTCCTCAATATTGAAATAGTCCCTGAAAAGGTTTCCATTAAGCACATAAGAGTTATCATTTGTAATAGAATCAGGAAAAATAATTTGGGGAGGTTCGCAAGAAAGTCGGAGAAGGCAATGGCAACCCACTCCAGTACTCTTGCCTGGAAAATCCCACGGGCAGAGGAGCCTGGTGGGCTGCAGTCCACGGGGTCGCAAAGAGTCGGACATGACTGAAGCGACTTAGCAGTAGCAGCAGCAGCAAGAAAGTGGTGGACGACTGGGAGAGTCACGCCTAAAAGAATAACAAGCCGTCCTACAACGCCACTGCTCCATCACAGCAGCTGGGCTGCCATGCTCCCCACGCGCCAAGCTCTTTACATTTACACGGCGCTTTCAGTCTCCTGAGTGCGTATTTCCTTCCTACTTTTGGGGAAGACACTTTTCTTGAATTGTAATCTGTTAAGTCTCTTGCTCTGCAATGGACAAGATATTGCCTTTTAACATCAAAAGCAGTTGTAGAATGGCAGGCTGTCAAGGGTGGAAGTATTCATAATGGTCACGCTGGGAACAGAGGCCAGAATCCCAGAATTCAAAAATCTAGCAGAACCTGAGCTGGTCGTACCCAAAAGAGTCATTAGGTGGCAGCGGTGGATAGGAATGCTGTCTCCCTCGCTTGGAGGAAACGGTGGGTCCTTGTAAGAGTCAGTATTGGACAGGGGATATTGCTGATCACAGAAAGGGGTGTGAGCTGGCAGGCCTGGCCACAGTCTCTGTCCAAACACTCTATGCTTTAGACATATATTATTCACCTTGAATCATACTGCCTGCCTCATAGCAGACCCTCAGTAATAACTGTTTTAATGACTGACGTCATTTTCCTCTCCAGGTCTAAACTTATCTATGAAATGAGACTTGCGAGCTATAAAAGTTTGAAATTCCATGGCTCTCATTAAGCATAATGGAGCCATTCTAGTTTCACTAGCAAAAGTCCAGTGAGCATGGAATTGGAAAGATAAGTTTGTATGGATTTAGTTGGTGTCACAAGGCAAAAAGAAAGAGATGTCAGGGTGATCTGAGCCAAGTCTCACTGGTGTGCATCATCCTGTAAGGCTCAGGGTGTAAGCCCAGCCCTCTCCACCTCTAGTTAAGGCTCTGACCCTACCTCAGGGTTGGCACCCTAAAAAGGCACTTGTTTGTTGGGAGGTTGAAGGTCCTTATGTTCTGGTCTGGAGAGGTAAAGGAATATATTTATTTCCGATGTACAAAATTTGCACATTCATCCTGTAACAACTCAGCTAAATTTTGCTCAGGCTTACTGCAATCTTGGGGGCTTCCCCAGCAGCTCAGTAGTAAAGAATCTGCCTGCAATGTAGTAGCCTCAGGAGACAGGTTAGATTCCTGGGTTGGGAAGATCCTCTGGAGGAGGGCAAGGCAACCCATTCCAGTATTCTTGCCTGGAGAATCCCACGGGTAGAGAAGCCAGAGGGGCTACAGTCCATGGGGTTGCCAAGTGCCTGACGCGACTGAGTGACCTAGCGTGCATGTGTTCTAATCATGACTCCCTGAGACATCCAGAAACCAAACCCTAGCAAACATGCACCATGGCCACCTCTATTTAACATCTGCTCCCTCACTCACACCTTCCACACAAATGTTTGCAATTCTAAATTTCCCAAAAAGAAAGGTAAAAGGGAATTGGGAAAAGACAAATAAGAGACAGAATATTTGTGGGAAAAAAACAAATAAGGACAGAATCTTTATGGTACAGAATCTGCGTAGGCCAAAAGTGCAAGGCCTCACATTTGGTTAAGGACTGTCAGACTCATTTAGACAGATCCTTCTAGACCCAAGCTCATAATCGTCAGGTCCTTCTAGACCCAAGCACTTAGTTGTCAGTGGAATTTGTTCCAAATGTTCTTTAGACTAACTTTGTCCTGTGTCTCAAACCAATCCCTTGATCTTTATAAAAATTATTATTCTCTTCCTCTCCCCACAGGCAATATTTTGTACTCAACAGATCCATCAAACTTTATGCACCAAAAAATTACGTTGACATTGGATTATGAGTAACTACAGTCAGTGTACCTTCCTTTGAACTTTGGATGTGTTCCACTTACTTCTTGGAGCATCCAAGAAGTTCTCTCTTTTTTTTTTTTTTTGTTTGCACTGTATGATTTGTGGGATCTTAGTTCCCTGACAAAGGAATGAACCCACACCCTTGGTGGTGAAAAGCAAAAAGTCCTAAACACTTGGACTGACATAGAATTTTCCCAAAATTTTCTTAAGGAAAGTAAATAGGGAAGGAGATAAGACTGAGAACACATGCATGCATGTTATAAGAAAACAGTACTAGGACTTCCCTGATGGTCCAGTGGCTAAGACTCCAAGCTCCCAATGCAGGGGCTGGGTTCCATCCCTGGTCAGGGAAGTAGATCCCTCATGCTTCAGCTAACGATCCTACATGTGGCCACTAAAAAAAAAAAAAAAAGATCTGCCATGCTGCAGCTAAAAACAAGGATGGAAGATCTCCCATGCCTCAGCTAAGACCCAGTGCAGCCAAATAAATAATAAATATTAAAAAGGAAAGAAAGAAAACAGAGCTAAAAATATGCTTCTGTTTTTCCCTTGTTAAGCCACATACACTGTCTGTGTCTGGGGTGGGGTGGGGGCTTCCAGATGTCCTTCAGCACCTGTCTCTCCTTCTTTGGGGATTTTATCACAATTTAGGAATCTCTCCTAAACCTCCGCTTGCTCCCAGCTGCACTAGTTTGCTTTTATCTACATATAGAATATCCCCTAAAGAAATCTGTTTTCATTTTAGACTTTGGAACCTAATTCATTTTCTTCTGAATTCATGAGCTTGGGCCCAGAGGCTTTAAATGGTGGGGGAATAGGTTCATTGAGATGGATGGACAGGTAGAAATAGCATATAAACAAACAAACATATATAAAACAATAGATTACCCAGATGGAAGAATCTTACAAAAATCTAGAAGTTTCCTTCCAACTGCAGAGGAATTCCAACTGTTTGTTCCTGGAGATGGGTTCCAGCTGAGTGAACCTGGAGGCCCCTTCGGTTCTGATCATACAGTGATCAGATGGACAGGGTGGAGAGACTAGAACTGAAAATCCTCAGTCCTGTCAGAGACACACAGACCAAGGACACTACTCTTGGACAAAACATGGAGAGTCATTTGCCTCTTCCTTGGGCCCAACTGGGTCGAATATTAACTCACTTGAATGGATTAGAGATTTGTTCTAGGAGGCAAAATTTGATAAATGTGGCCTTTTGTCCCCAAGTTGGCTTTTTCTGACATCCCTGGTTCGTACCCCTGCCCGAGACAAGACCCAGGTTTCATTGTTCCCATGCAATGATCTGGATCCCAAAGATGTTGTTTCTTGGGCCAGCTCCAAGAACTGCCTTGTAGAAGCCTGCAGAGAAGATGGGGTCCCCCAGGAGGATGCAGCTCCACTGTACTTTCTCTTTACCCACAGAATTTGGTCTCATGAACAGGTGCTAAGTAGGTTTTATAGAACCGGGAAAGCACTTCCAGAGTAGGTTATGTGACAGCTGTTAGCATCCTGCACATGACCTCAACCTCGCAGCTATTAACCTTCAGAAATATCCTTATCCTGGGCTTCTGTTTCCTTTCTTCTTTACCTGTCCACAAATGACTAACTGTGAGCACCCGATATTTTGTTGTAAAATTGTCTAACTCCACCATCAATGCATCACTGACTTGTATCCACTCACAAAATAGCTATGTTGCCTGCATAGAAAGTGGACCCAAGGGTAACAGGATCACTTTCAGATCCTATGGTTTCAAATATCAGGTAGTGTCAGAGGATGTTCAACTTTAAGGAATCCTATATGTTGTTTTCTTCCCTTGTGTGCTGTTTCTCAAGGGCCCTCTGTTCCTTATCAGTTCCTGGAAAACAGGAATGAGCAGAGCTGCACGCAGTTCTCAGGACTGAGGTCATGAGACAGAGCACATGCGTGGATTCCCTTTAGGGACTTGTTACCTTACTGTAAACTATTCAGTCACGTCCCTACTACTCAGGATATGGATTGTCTTCTGGCCCTGTGACGACTGTTATTCACCTGGTTCTGTTTTTGCTCAACTTTATTTTTGCTGCTTAAAGCTTCCTTGTATGAAAGTATATACGCACAGGCTGTTTCAAATAAAGCACCCTTGTTTCACTCGAGACTTGGGTCCCCCGCGTCTCTCTCTTCATCGACTCCAGTCCCCAGGGCCTGGTCTGTAAAGACCATAACGAGGTAGCAGCAGGAGGCCAGCCATTTCACAGACCCCCAGCAACCACCTTCACTGGTGTTGGATCTAGGACGCTGTTATCTTGTTAAAAATTACCAACCTTCTCTTGTCATTTACCCATCTCTACATTTTCAGTCTCCCGATATTTCAGGCATTAGCTAAAGACATGCTGCCTACCAGTAAAACAAATGCACTTGACATCATCATAATAATTATAATAATCAGTGTTACCTTGCATTCTATGAAAAGCTCATACATTTAACCCTCACCAGAACTATGTGAGGTGGTTATTATGTAAGTCAGTTCTTCTTATGAGGAAACTCTGAAATTAAACAGCAGGGGAACCTTGACTGAAACAATCCTTTCTCTTTTTTTTTACTAATAACTTTCTTGCTTCATCCAGTTTCTGCCTATAAAACCCTTCCACTGCAGGCTCCTTGGAGCACCTCTCTTATTTACTAGATGAGATGCTGCCCCTTTCGTCAATGATTCAACAAAACCAACTAAGTCTTCAAATTTACTCAGTTGAATTTTGGTTTTTAACAGAACAAAGAAAAGTAGCAGGATGTGGGGCTTCTTCTGGCATCCAACAATGCATCCAAACACTCACTTTCCTCTTCTGAGCAAACACACTGCTTGAGAGGAGCACCTATTTTAATTAATTGTGCATCACTTTTTAAAAATAAACTGAAAAATTGAGTTTTGAAAAGTTTTCAACCATTACAAACCACACAGCTGGGACCGTACTGAAAGAGGATGCCAGACAAAGTTACATCAGTAAGGAGGAGAAGTTTGATGCCAGGGTATAAAGCAGCAAAGGATAGGCTAGCTCTGTTGTTTGGTGGCAATGCTCCCAGGGATATGAAGCTGAATCCTTCTTAGTTTATCATTCAGAGAACCCAAGAGCCCTTAAGAACATAGCCAAGGGTACTCTTTCTGTTGTATGTGAGAGTAATCCCAAAGTATGGGTTACACAAACAATTTTCCAGGACTGGTTTTTCTATCACTTTTTCCTAGAGGTAGAGAAATATTGCTTGGAGAAGGATATCCCATTCAACATTCATTTGCTGCTCAGCAGTGCTCCCAGACACCCCCATTCATGGCTGACTTTCATCTCAACATCAAAGTAGTGCATCTGCCACTGAATACTACATTGCTCATCCAACCTAAAGACTAGGGAGTTATGCTGACTTTCAGGAAATATTATTTATGTCACATTTTTCATCAGGAAGTAAAGGCAAGTGACAAATCATGAACAATCTTGTGCCAATTTTGGAAGGACTATAATATCTACAAGGCCATAAAAAATTTTGACTTTGCCTGGCTTGAGGTTCCAATGTCACTGAGAATGGGGTTTGGAAGCACCTTTGCCTACAGTTTGTTCACAATTCGTGGGTTTGAGAAGGTGGATGAGAAGTCCAAAGAGGTCTTCAGTGACTTAGTGACCCTCAGTGAGAAGCTGGATTTAGATGCACAAGGGAACAATTTCACTGAACTCCTTACTGTGCAACACAAGAGGTTACTAATGAAGACCTAATGGCATTGGAGGCCCAGAGAAAGGACAAAGAGATACAAGAGGAAGAAGTAACTGAAGAACTGATGAGATTCATGAAACAAGAAATGGCAAGGGGATTTTCTTTACTTGAGGAGGCACAGTAAGTTTTTGAGCCACAGGACCAGAACATAGAAAGACACAAAAAGCTTGCAGAAACTGTTCAGAATGCAATCCAGGGCTACTGTGTCATTTAAAATGAGAGTAGAAAGGCTGCTACCCAGACATCACTGGATCATTTTTACAAGAGGCGAGGTAGAACTGAAGCTGCAATACTTCAGCCACCTGATGCGAAAAGCTAACTCACTAGAAAAGACCCTGATGCTGGGAAAGATTGAAGGCAGGAGGAGAAGGGGATGACAGAAGACGAGATGGTTGGATGGCATCACCACTTCAAAGGACATGAGTTTGAGCAAGCTCCAGGAGATGGTGTAGGGCAGGGAAGCCTGGCATGCTGTGGTCCATGGGGTTGCACAGAGTCGGACACGACTGAATGGCTGGACAACAGGTAGAATTGAACCTAGCAAGGAACCTGGACTTGTGCCATCAATGCCAAGTATGAGTGAAACTGCAGCCTGCCCTCCATCTCCTGCTGCTGATGACTCTGCAGCTGAACCATCTCGCACCTTCTCTCCCTCCTCTGGTCAGGAACTCTTCTCGTCTGTTCACTCGATGCCAGCCCCATCTGCCAACTGTTGTACTGTACTACTCTGCTTTTCAAGGTGCTGTACTGTAAGATTAAAATTTTTAAATTCTTATATTAATTTATGTGAAAAGTGTTATAAAACTATTATAAAACTATAGCATAGAAGTATTATAAAATAATATATAAAATAAAATATAGTATTATCATACTATAGTACTACATAGCAGGTTGTGTCAGTTGCCTCCTTCAGCTAACTTGGACTAATGAAAAAGAGGACTTACAAATATGCTCTCAGAGTAGAACCCCTTCTTATGTAGGAGACTTACTCTATTTTGAAACTATGCCAATATCCTGTTCTTTATCAAACTATCAACTTATTCATTTGTTTATTTTATCAGTGTAGCCTCATGGGTTCTCATTTTTTTAGCTGTTTATATAATCTGTTATTTTCATTATTATCTTGATGCTCAAATTGTCACAGATTTTGCCATTGGGAACCCCTTAAACTGACTTCTGTGTCCTTTTGACGTTCCCATCATTCCTTGGGTATTTCCTTGCTTTCTGGCTAAAGATATTCTAGTCTCCTCTTCTGTGCTCCCTGTCCCAGCTCTGAGGGTAGCCATTTCTTCAGGGAGCCATTTCTCCAAGGCTCTTTTAAGGATAGTACCTGGTATTTAAATAAAAGCCAAGTTCTTGCTAAAAGCTAAGAATACTTGTCACTCTTGGGATGTTGCTATTATCAGACTCTTTGAGTGACCACATCGAGGAACTGTGTATACATAAATTCACACACACTGGTAAAAGCTGAGGTTGCAGCAGAACCAAGAAAGCAGAGGGGGATTAAGGATTAGCCTTTCTGGAGAATGAAATTCATAGTCAGGAAGCAAGAACACAGGCCAGATCAGATTGCAGTGAGGGAAGGCCTTGAGACGGTTAAATGCAAAGCTCAAAGCAGATCAGCCAGTAGGTCAAGAGGCTTAACCTAGAGACTCTTTAAAAGACTCCACTTAAGTAGATGTGAGACTTGTCTCCTAAACTCCATAAGGCTGACTCTCTTCATCTTAGATGCCTACCTTGACTTCCCCACCCATGTGGCTTGTCTCTTGACTATATCCCCACCTGTGGAGAAAGAAGCAGTGTTGTACTGGTTGGAACTGTCCTAGTGATTAACACCAGGAAGAAAGCAGAAGATGGAAGATGTGTGACTCAAGAAATTTCTAAGCAAATGACTTTTTTCGAGACCTTACTTCCTTGGTGGAACCAACATGGGATGCCTTTTAAGAAGAAGGAGGGTACTGTTTGAACTAGCAGCCTTCCTCCTAAACAGATTGCCCTGTCTCCCCACCCTGCCTCCTTACTCCTCACTCTAGCTGCTCTGATATAAGAGCCCCTGATGTTACCCCAGTATGAGTGCCCAGGCCCCTAACTCAACAGGCGGGGTAAGCAGCAAAGCCTTCTCCCCCCACAGGGCACAGCAGGAAGAGGTAAAGGGGGAAGTCTGAGGCTCGAGGAAGAAGGGGATTATTTCACAATGAGAAACTGTAGCCCTTTGGGGGTCCATCCCCAGGGTCAGTTCCCCATGCATGGCACACCAGGCAACACTGTGTAGTGAGAACTCTGCCTTGGGGAGTTGGGGACCTCACACTGGCTTCTGCTTCCACGCCAAGACGCAACTGTCTGACCTTGGGTCCACCGTGACCCTCATTCTCCTCAGGTGTACAATGGGATGCCAGCAGGAAGGTTCTTTCCATTGCTTGTGTCTTGTCCATCCGTGAGTGCAAGGTAACTGTCTATATATGTTTTTATAAATGGAAGTGTTTTGCATGGTATTCAATAGATGTCTCCCATGGCCTACATTTTATTTCTGTGTTATCCCCGGTGCCACAGAGAACCTTGCAATTTTCTAAACACATAGTGCTCTGCCATATGTGTGCAATGTCTCTGACCTTTTTTTCTCTCTGAATTGCCTATCCTCTACCCCTAATTGGAGGGGGGACCCTATTTATGCTTAAAACCCTTCCCAGGGAAAATCTTTGCTCTGGAACCTTCCCTGATTCACCCTGACTCCACCCCTTTCCTCTTGTTGCTTCATAATAACTCCACCCTCACCTCTCCTGGAGTTCTTCTCAAGGTCTAGTTTATATTATGACTCTCGTGGTTGTGTCTGTTGGGGAGAATTCTCAGCACTTGGGTCTTAATCATAGTTCATGATTTACTTGCTTAGCTCTTTTCAGGAGAAGACAGGTATCTGGCTCTGGGTGAGAGTGCAGATTTGACATTCCTAGATCCTTCAGGTCCTCCTCTCTTACCAGCTGTTACTTTCACACAGGCGTTCTGGTCAACCATTAATGCCCCTGTGATAAGCTACCAGAAGAGCTGGCACAAGTGGCTATCCCTGATGTGAGGGTGGGGTCACTGGGGCTTGCCCTAGGGGGAAGAAGGGTCGGTGGTGGTAGGGGTTGGGTCTCCTAAAATACTTGAAGCCCAGAGACCACTGAACAACCCAGGCTGATTAGGTAATTAGGTCTTCTCCAATCAGGAACAGCAGACACCCAAGTCTTCTTTTCTCAGGTACCCTAGCTATGTCTGACCTCACTTTAAGAAGGACCAGGGCTGGGAACTGGAGTGGGAAAGGACATGTGGAGAATGTGTGTGTCCTTGGGCTGAGGACACAGTGATAACGTGGAGAGGCTGGGAGGTGGAAAGCGGGAGATGAGGGCCCAGCCCTGTGTGCACCTAAGTCCAGACCATGGACTGCACCTGGCGGGTCACAAGGGAGTCAGAGCCACCCTCTGGGAAAGTGCAGCCTGTGCTCAGGTGTTGGAACCCCTTCCCCCTTTTATCTTTTGACTGCACCTCATGCCTTGTGGGATCTTACTTCCTAGACCAAGAATGGAACCTTGACTCTTGGCAGTGAAAGGACAGAGTCCTAACCATTGGTCCACCAGGGAATTCTGGGAACCCCTTTCTTTCCCGGTTTGTGCTGCTGGGTGTTTGAGGGTGGGATGGACAGGAAGAGACATGGGAAGTCTTGTAACATGGGGATCATCAACAGGGACCTGCACAGCCTCAAAAGCTTTTTATCCTTTGGCAGTTGATTTGTCTTGAGAGGTAAAGTGTTGGGGTGTCAGCAGGAGGTGGAAATTAGAAGAAGATTGAACAATGTTTCCCTGGGGAAGGGGCTGCTCAGTAAAGGTTGATAAAAGCATAGCTTTGTGACAGGCTTGATGGGCCACTTGGGCTGTTTGACTCCTAGGGAATCCCCAAATTTCCTCCACGCACAGTGACCTCTGTCTCCATGGAGCTGGCTTCAGAGGACCCAGAATCCAGAGCCCCACTCCTGAAGAGGAGCCAGGAAAACTGTATAACCGGGGAGAGGGGCAAGTGCCCTATCTGAGAGAAGAGTGTGCGGGGTGTGGGTGGGCCTGGCCACAGCCTCTCTAAGGGTTCCTTGGGGCCTGGAGCCCAGTGGTGTGGTATAGTAGTTCTAACCCTCCCAAACTGCCTCTGAATTTAAGGGGATTTCAGGGGTTAATTTCCAAGCATTCTGTGAAGGGGACAAATGTGCACTTCCTTTCTCTTTCTCAGCTGGGCCTGGGATCAGCCAGTACTGATGTGGCTTCATGATGTCTTAGGAGTCTTACCTTGAACACCTGCTCCTTCTTTTTTTTTTTTTTTTCATTTATTTTTATTAGTTGGAGGCTAATTACTTTACATCATTGCAGTGGTTTTTGTCATACATTGAAATGAATTAGCCATGGATTTACATGTATTCCCCATCCCGGTCCCCCCTCCCACCTCCCTCTCCACCCGATCCCTCTGGGTCTTCCCAGTGCACCAGGCCCGAGCACTTGTCTCATGCACCCAACCTGGGCTGGTGATCTGTTTCACCCTGGATAATATACATGTTTCTATGCTGTTCTCTTGAAACATCCCACCCTCGCCTTCTCCCAGAGTCCACAAGTCTGTTCTATATATCGGAGTCTCTTTTTCTGTTTTGCATATAGGGTTATTGTTACCATCTTTCTAAATTCCATATATATGTGTTAGTATACTGTAATGGTCTTTATCTTTCTGGCTTACTTCGCTCTGTATAATGGGCTCCAGTTTCATCCATCTCATTAGAACTGATTCAAATGAATTCTTTTTAATGGCTGAGTAATATTCCATGGTGTATATGTACCACAGCTTCCTCATCCATTCGTCTGCTGATGGGCATCTAGGTTGCTTCCATGTCCTGGCTATTATAAACAGTGCTGCGATGAACATTGGGGTGCACGTGAACACCTGCTCCTTCTAACTGATCGGCATCTTCCTGCCCTGCTGTTTCCTTCTTCCCTCCCGCTGTGTCTTTTCCCTCCTCTCCTCTCTGTATGCCTACAACTGCTGTGACCACACCTCCTGTCCCCCTCACCTTGTATCCTTGTCCTCTTTCACTCATTCTGCCCCGGGCCTCCCATTCCTTGCTTCTTCTCTTCTCCCTCACATCAATTCCTCTGTCCCCGAGTCCCTGTGTTCCTATTGATTTCTCTGTGTTTCGTCCCATCCACGACTCCATCCCCATCTCCTCCAAAGCCCCATTTTGTGCCCTCAGGCCCCAGCATCTCTCTCCTCTCCCCCCGTGTGTCCTCATCCCTCCACATTGAGTCCCTCCTTTGCCCACCTTGCCACTCACCTGAGGGTACTCTTATCTGACCAGAATCCACCCCTTCCCTGTCCTCCCCTCACCCATGTTCCACCGTAGGCCTCACCTCGTCAATGAGTCCTCCTGTTGCAATGCCGGCTCAGCGGGACACAGCTTCCCTCCACTGGGCTTCAGATCTCTGAAGGCCTCCTCTCACCACGAACTTCTTAAGAACTGGCTTGGCCTGTGGTGCTTTTATTTGGGTGTGGGCTGGGGAGCAGCCTTGGATCAGGAAATGAATCAAGTTCATGCTTTTTCACTTACATATTCCAAGTGAGTGGATACCTATGGAGCAAGTAAACCTGCCTAAACATCTTCAGCAATGAGGAAGCTTGAATCCTCACATTCAAAGAGTGGAGCTGGCTATAGCCACAAGATTTTAACGAGTCTGATAAAACACCTGGCCTAAGTGTCTACCTGAAATGAGAATTGTCATTTATCATCTCCTATACACCCCTCTGGTTCTGATTCTGGGAAGAGCTATCATTGTGGTGGTAAAGATGGCTTTTTTCTGACCTGGAATACAGATGGAATAACCTAGAAGGTTACTTTGCATGGCTTCCTGTCATCAAGAATGAGTGATGGGAGAGGGGATGATGACACAAGGCAGAGAGTGATGGGGCAGCTGAGTTAACTGTTGGAGATGCTGTGTCCATGTCTGGGAAGAGACATGCAGTCTGCTGAGACAAGGAAGGTTCATTGCCTCGTGGCCAGTGTGACTCCAGCCTTGCAGTATTCCAAGCCCTCCTTCTATTACTCCAAGGCTGTTGGAAGAATGAGATCATATCATGCCACTCTTTTTTAAGCTGAAGTCAGTGGTTTCTGTTGAGCCCTGAAAATTTCCAAACCTAGGATCTCTATGCAATAGCTTGGGTCAACAGATCTACCCGGAGGAGTAAATCCTTCAGTGGTTTCTCTGGAAAAGATGCTTAAGTGCAGCTGCTGTGTGTAGGATTGCCAAGAACAAGAATGAATGACCATATGGAGGGTGGAAGGAATGGAAATTGCTATATATCTAGGCCTGGAAAAGTAGCTGATAGAAAGGAAGTCAGGAGCCCCAGACTCAAGGACAGATGTACAAATTTTATGACAAGCCACCTCTGTTCTATTCTGAGAGAAGTCCTGCAAAAGATTCAAACTATCTCTCAAGCAATCAATTGAATGCTGCTCCTGACCACAGTGTGCGAAGGGTTTTCCCTTCCTGTTCCTCACTGATTCCTGAGTGCAGCTCTGTGATGGAGGGAGGGTAGGAGCTGTCATTATCTGTCCCCTTTTCTGTCAGTCTACATTTCCAGATTCTAGAGCCTGTGCCCGTTCCTGACCCAAATGTGAATGAACCACAGTATTCTCATATCTCTCTATTTCCCACAAATCTCAGACATGAAGGAGGAGATAAGCTTCTAGAGCAGAATGTAGCCACATTAAAGAAAGGTACAAGCAGACACACAGCCTGGTGGGTAGTTCTGTAAAGTTTATTGTGTATGCACCAGGAGTTTCACCAGGCGGTGCTCGTGGTAAAGAACTTGCCTGCCAGTGCAGGAGACTGTAAGAAATGTGGGTTCAATCCCTGAAAGGAAGGCATGGCAGCTGAGTCCAGTATTCTTGATGGAAAATCCCAAGGACAGAGGAGCCTGGTGGGCTACAGTCCATAGGGTCTTAAAAAGTTGGGCAGGACTGAAGTGATTTAGCATGCATGCAGGGAGCTTCATTAAAAAAAAATTTTTTTTAATTGGAGGATAATTGATTTACAATATTGTGTTGGTTTCTGTCATGTATCAACATGAATCACCCAGCTGAGCCAGACTTAAAGGAGGCTGGGGGCTTGTGCTACAAGGACTGATGCTGATAGGCAGGGTGGATGGTGGGACTGGACCATGGTTGTAACTGTGGGCCTTGGCCAATGAGCATGGCCCATAGTGCTGACCCAAAGTTTAGATGATCTCATGCAAGTGAGCTAGAACCATGTGGTATTGTCCTGTGATCACGTGCAATGATGAAGATTGTGTGACCACAGGACGAGGTGACCACAGACTCTGTGTCTGTGTCTGACCATTGGGCAGTTCGTATAATGAATGCAGTGCATGTCCTATGAGATTGC